AGGGAAGAAGGGAAAGAACTGTAACAATCCCAAGTACCTCCATTGTGACCCACAACACACAAGTATAAATTTAATGAAATTAATGGTAAGAAACAGTGAAATAAAACAGATGGATGTGATGTTCTGTGTTGAAGAAAAGATAAACAACTTAAGTATCAATAAACCCGTAAAAAGAACCAAAAATAACACACTTATTAAGCCTAATCGAAAAAGATATTTAGCCTAATTAATGATTATCCCAGAAGTAGAACTACAGGTAAACCAAAAATAAACATTTAAAAAACCTAATTGAACAATACATAACAAAGAATATCACTTAAGCACTACAAGAAATATTCAACCAAACAATAAATATGTAAAATAGTGGGATAAGTTTGTATGGACCCCAGCTCAAGAGTTCCACACAAACCAAGTGAATAGGAAGAAAAACAATATATTGAAATTACTGGTAGATATACCAGTAAGATGAATCCCGGGTAATCCTAAAATAACAAAGACCATGTTAAGCCTAAATGAATGGCATAGTAGATAAATACAACTTGGACTAATGGCTAACCTAAACTTGACTATGAGTAGGAACCAATCTAATGAAACATGTTATGGAACCCAAATAACGACAGATAATAATATTAACAATAAAAGTTTACAAAAACCATAACAGTATAACATTTTATCTTTTCAAAGTTGGCAAACTGTAGTGCAAATGTGTGGACCCCCAAACTTGAGGTGAGACACAAAGCTGAAAATCTTCCCAGAGAGTACAGTGACCTGAAGCCTGTATAAAGTGCTAATCATAGAACAGATAACCTCCAAAGTGGTAACGGAAAATTCATAATGCAAGATGAATAACCAAACACAACTGTGTTGGCAAAAACAATAAAAAATTTTTGTAATGAAGTAATAACTTCCATAACCAGGTAGAAATATAAAATAATTCCACTTTAAAATAACACAACAAGTTAAAAATGTCAAATATTGTATAATAAAGAGTAAACTTGTTGAAATAAATTAATACAAAGATACGGAAAAATATTAAAATAAAACACTTGAAGAGAGCACAAACTAAACGTTAGAACACGAGTACTGCCAAATGATAGTCTTATAAAACTGAATAGAGGGAGTCATGTGTGTAATGAATGTGTGTGTGGGGGGGGGGGGGCAATCTCATTGGTGGAGTGTTGTCGCATGATGGTTTGCACAAGACACACATTGAAATGAGTCATTTCCAATGGAGGAGAGGCAGAAGGCTTGCGGCATGCATAATTTGTTTATTCTGCATATAGAGGGCAGCATTGAAAGAGAATAGCTATTTATGTGAGAGGAGGTAATTTGCAAGTGTTACAGTAGATGATTGAATAAGTTAGCACACTTATTAGTCTGTTGTCTGTCCTGTCAGGCAGTTTGTCAGTTCAGTTTTGTGAACAATGAGATCGTGTTTCAACAAAATACCTTGAGATACAAAAAAGTGCTATATGTACGAGACATTAGAAAAACTGTTGTATCAGCATCAACACTAAACTTGGAACTACAAGTGAAAATTAATAAAGCTAACATATAAAATTTGAAGTTTAATAAATAAAATTTTTTATCACTTAGTTAATAGGACTTTCCATCATTTTTACTTAATATCCCAAAAGAATCCACCCAATAATGATGTCAGAAGATGAATTATTTAAGTAAAAAGAAAATAAAATCAAGACCCAATTTCAAAATGACACCAAATGCTCAAAAAGATATAGAAAACTTGCTGGGAGTAATGAAACAGTGGAAGGATGATCAAGAGAAAAAAAAAGGGCAAATTAAAAGAAGACCAAGATGATAGAAACTGATGATTAAAAGAAGATCAAAAACAAAGAGGAAGATTATAAAATAGGAAGTACAAAAACATGGCATAAGATTTATAGAAGAATTGCTAATAAAAACCAATTTCATCAAAAACGCAACAAAAAAATGTAGAGACTAAAGACTAAAAAGCCACAGACATACAGAAGGTTTATAACATCAACAAAGTAAAAAAAGAACATCAGTGAAGAATAGAGGGATTATAACAACAAGAGCAATGGATTTATAAGAACATTGATGCCCAGGATAATGCAAGGATCAAACTAATCATACTTTTTTCTCCATCCACTCATGAACTTCAACATTAAAAAAATAAAACATTACCTTTGCAATATGGAACAGGATATTTATCTAATCTATACTTGTTACCACTACTATTTTACCATCTGGGATAGCAGAACCTTCCTAGAATACTTTAGTTACATCACTTCATCATCAACTTAGTAGGCAAGTTCAACATCTCCAGTTGAGAAACCAACATATATGATGGAAAGATATAAGTACAGTTTAAAATAACTTCCAAAGTAAATGGCTGGAATAGTAAACAGCAAGTTATTCATCTTGCTGCACCTATAAAAGTACCAGCTTTAACTACATCAAACAACCTTCCCAATGAAAACTGTAAGCACTAACAGGCATTAGTGGAGTTTTACATCAGCAGAAAGTTTTTAAACAAACTTTAGGTGCAAAATAAGAAGAAAAAAAAAGATGAGATTATAACTGAACTTGCAGAAGATGTGGAAAGATATGCCCAGTTATCTTATATAGATGTACTACATGAAAAGATGGATTCATTGGTACATGACTAATTCAAAGAAAACATAGTGGATGAAGACACACAGACTAAGACAAAGCAAAGTATGGTATATCTTTAGAGTAATATGTTGCAGGTAAATGATAAAAGCACCATAAAGGAATTATGGTATCATCAGGTACAATAATAAGGAAATAACTTTCTCTAATGAAACTCTAGAAGAACTCAAAGGATTAATTGGACAATTGTTTACTCTGAATGGAAGAAGTAACCTTCATGACAATGGACATTTCAATTACAACTTAAAAGAATACACTTTCAGGAACTGCAGATAAAAGTCAGAAAGAAACAAAAATTGCTTCCAAAGAGTAACATAAAAATGGATCTGCTACAAATATAGACATTATATCCAATACTGTGTTGAATTAACTTCTGATAGTAAACCAAGGAGTTGGTATCCTGAAAATACTCCATTTGCTCCTAGTGAAATAAACAGAACACTAAAGAAACCAAGCCAGGAGCTAATGGATTGCTAAATGAGAAGTTTTGCAACATTTTGATTAACACTTGTTTTACAGCTATCATTTTTCAACTTGATCTGGTAATGAAAGCTGAGAAATTGCCTTCAGAGATGAAGCAAGAAGATGAATTGATGTGAACAGCAACAAGGAAAATGGAATATTTTCAAAATGAGACCCAAATCTCAATCACTTTTGAATAGTTGACTATTATTCTTCAGGAGAATAAAGGGAAGATGGAAGTCACTCTCATCATGGAAAGCTTCACTTCATGACATGATGTGTGGATAACTGACATTTAGGAAAAGTACATATTGGCAATTGACTTCATACAGAAACACATGCAAGTTAGACTCATTTTAAATACACTTACACTAGACGAAAGTTACAGCACCAGAGGTTGGACTTTCAGGGACAAAGTTAGAAGCCAATGATAATACAGACAACCAACCTAAACAGAGTAAAATACATAATAACAGGTGGTCTAAGCCAAATGTCAGCCATAATGATTGTTTTTGGAAGCCCCTTGATGGTTAGCTTCAAAGAAGAATTTATCAGATGTAATTAAACCTGCTGAACCAAAGGTTACTGTCAAGGCTACTTCCAGAATATCAGCAATAATGAAGCCACAAGTAAATTCTCTTGACCTTCTACTCAGATAAGAACTCCTTCAGTGACATAATAGTAATTTACAATAAAGGACAAGTTGTCATCCCATGTTTGTACAATAACTTATGAAAAAAAAATTATTATTAATTAAAATACAATGAAAAAAGTTTTTTAACCATAAGTTTAACTGTACTTTGTTTCACATACTTAATTAATGATTATAATGTCTATGTTTATGACTATTAATGTTATCAGTCAAGTTACTTTATTGTTAATTATGGAAGTTTAAGTTAATTATCATAGATTATTGTGTAACAGAATCATTCAAGGAACTTCACAATACAGTGTTCTAGGATATCTTTTTAATTTAAATTATTCTATTATTGTTTGTCCAGAGAAAGTTTTGATGTCAATGAGCACGATTTAAACCTTCTTGAAAATTAAGGAAATGATTTGAGATAGATAAAAAGTGAGTTACCTTAGTTGATGATTAAGTGATTTTGTAAAGCTGTTCGAGTGTATGATTTACTACTGAGTTATTGTTTGTTTGTTTCTTGAAGCTACTCAAGGGCTATCTCTATTAACTGTCCATAATTTCAAAGTGATAGACTAGAAAGAAGGCAGCTAGTCAACATCACCAACCTCTCTTTACAAGTGAATAATGTGATCTACAGTCATCTTATAACACCTCTACAGCTAAAAGAATAATCATGTTCAGCAACAGGTTTCAATCCTGCTACTCACACTGCGAATCAAGCACCCTAAATCATGTAAATGCCACTCCTTGATTTGTTAGTTTATCCATTACTGTCAAGCAACCAGTAAATTAGTTCATCTCTGTAAATATTAAATTTGTGTTTCAACTAAGTACTAGAGATAAAGAATGTGCCTTATGTACAAGAGAAGTCAACAAATAAATGAAATTGTATTAGTATTACTACTATTTCTAGTAGTAGTAGTATTGCTATTACTTATTTAGCAGTTCCTATGAACTTAGGCTTAAGAGTGAACATTAGTAAAGCTAATTTGTATAACTTAAGTTTCATTACTATCAAGTTGACTGGGCTTGGCATTTTTATTTTTACCGAATATTCGAAATAATCCATATGAACCCATCAACAACAGAAACCATTAAATTTAAAAACATAAAAATAATTGTATAGTCTGCTAATTATACTGATATATCATATTAGTAATATTACTGTTTAACTTATATCATAATTCGATAATTACAACAATACAAAACTCGCAGCCAATTTCTTTAAATACACACTTACAATCCAAATGTTTTTTCTTTGGAGCGATAGGTTCTTCCGTTGCTGCTTTGCACACAATTCTTGCTAACCCTTGACCAGCGAGAGCATACCGTGCAGCAACCAATCTATCCTGTAGGCTCTGTCCACCGTGCATCATCTTTTATCGTTTTTCTATATACAATTATACGTAATAAATATGTTAAGGTAAACTACAGATGTTTCTGTACACACTTAATTCATACGAACCGGCGAAACTAACTCAGATGTTAATACCACCGGTACTCACTACCAAACAACTTTCAGTAACTCAACACCAAAATTGATATTATGGCGTAATAGCATCTGATTTACTGGATGACCAATCACAGACGCAGTATCTTTGACGATATCTGTGGTCACAAGGGGGTTGTTGATCGCTCAAAGAGATAGCAATTACATTACGCTATGTAGGAATTCTCTGATGGTGTTAATTAAGAGACACTTTGAAAATAAGTAAACCAATAACGTTATTAAATATTATTTCATTAACTTTAAGCCTTCACAACATATATATACGTTCACATCGAAACTAATAACAATATCATTCTTAAAATTTAATCCAACTACACGCAAATTCAAAACATACTGAAATAAAAATAAATGTAAAAGAAAACTATAAATCATAAGAGATGTATAATTAATTGCATAGTAGCATTCAAAATGCGTTGAGGATAATCTGTTTCGTAAGTTATAGTCAATGTGGATAAAAAGCTACAACAGATAAACAAAATTAAAATTGCTAGAAAGCCACGTTCGGGTGTTTGAACTCGTAATTGCCTGAACCTAAGCTACCTGTCTAAATATTCACTGTTTGCAGCCAATTATGGAAAGGTAGATGTCCAGTAATACTAATAATAAAAGGATAAACAATCTGGCCATGTGCAAACCTAAATATTTCAGAATGAAATAACAAAGACATAATATTTAAGATTTAAAAAAAGTAAGTAAAACAAAATAAATAAAATAATTATTACTGTTTGTTGAACTTCGCACAAAACTAGTAGAGGGCTGTCTACATTAAACATAGCTAATTCTGATGTGATGAACCAGAGCGTAGGCAGCTAGTAAACACCACACACCAACTACTCTTGGTTTTCTGTTTACAATTGAACAGTGTGATTAACAGTCACATTATAATACCTCGACAACTGAAAATGCCAGTATATTCCTTTCTTTTTATCTTGCTTTGTTTTATTTATTTTCTGTACTTTGTATATTATTTCTTTTATTTTTATTCTGAAATCTTTAGGTTTATATATATGTATATATATATATATTGTTACGTCTCCGTTTGTTAATTAACTTTCCGTAACTTGGTTCCGATGAAATTTTAGCGACACAAGTCCTTACTTAATAAAACTGGTTTATTCTTTCTGAATATAACTTTACCGATGCACTTATTTTCAACAATCGCGCTAAAACAAACGCTATAACAACGAACGTGCTCAATAATACTCTCTAACTGCAGATCAGTTACTCACTGTCTACACACACATTACATTACTTTCACGTTGTGAGCGTCTTATATGTATATATACCAGACAAATATATATCTAGTAACTGCTAGGGCATTCACGAAGGAACAAGATACTTCTAGAAAATAGGTGGCGTCCAAACAGTCACGTGATCTCGCTGACGCAACACTGCCCCTCCTTAGTATTGTTCGTCCCGAACAATAGCCACATACAATAAACCAATAACAATTAACAATAACTTAATTAAAAGTACAGAATTAGAAACACAACATTACAATTCAACAAATTCT